TGGGACAGACCCTGCCTCATTATCTTAAGGCCTGGAATGTAGTCTGCAGTAGCCACTGGCTGTTTTTACTTCTGGGTTCAGAAGCCCCAAGTCTCCCCAGGCCTCCAACTCCCAGGTCCAGGCAGACGGCCTGGGTCTCTGAATCTCCGCCTGGGATATGAGGCTACTGCAGGCTCTGGAAGTCCCTTTGGAGGCCCTGGGCACAGGAAGGATGATGTCCTGATGAGCCTCTATTGGTGGGTAGGGAGCTGGTTTGTTGGCACCCTGATCTGCCAGTTGACCCAGTGCTGCCCCTGGGGAGGAGAAGATTAATGTGTGAGAGAGCAGTGGGGGGCAGAGTAGAGCTGGCAGAACAAGGGGCAGGATTGGTTCAAGGTTCAGAGTAAGAGGGAGGAAGGGCACCTAGGAGCTTGCTGTGGAGTAGTGGCCAGTATGATGGAGACCAGGACACCCCTTGGTGGCATGTCACCAATGGATGGTCAGTCCTCAGGTAAGGGTCCCAGGAGTTCACAGGACAGTGACCTGGGAGACCTCATGGACCCATTCCATTGCACAGAGAGGGCACTAAGGCCCAGACTTCACTGCATATGAATATGCAGGTCTTGAAAAGCTGGCTTTGGTACCATGAGCTCCTAGCCAGATGCTCTGACCCTACCAGGCTGCTTTGAGAAGGGTGTCTCTCTTTGGGGCCCCCTCCCACTGCCCAGTCACCTTTTTGTGGGGTGGGGTTCTCTGTGAGCAGGATCTTCTCAGCCTACATAAAGGAGGTGGAGGAACGACCAGCACCCACCCCATGGGGCTCCAAGATGCCTTTCGGGGAGCTGATGTTCGAGTCCAGCAGTAGCTGCGGCTGGGTGCATGGTGTGTGCTTTTCAGCCAGCGGCAGCCGTGTGGCCTGGGTCAGCCACGACAGCACCGTGTGCCTGGCCGATGCTGACAAGAAGATGGCGTGAGTACAGGCCACCCAAGGGGAGGACAACAAAGACATAGAGCAGGAAGGGGCCTGTGTGGCTGATACCTCTCTCTCACTCAGAGTCGCAACTCTGGCTTCTGAAACGCTGCCACTGCTGGCCCTGACCTTCATCACAGAAAACAGTCTGGTGGCTGCGGTAAGGAAGGAGGGAAGCAGTGGCCCTTTAGGGCAGGTCTCCCAGTGGGCCCAGAGATGCCCAGGCAGTTACATACACTTGTTCGCTCCTTCCCTTCCTCCACCTTCCCCCACCTTCCCTCCCTTCCCCACTTCCTTTCATCCAACCATCCAGCCATCTTTTCATCTATGTACCTGTATTGATCAGAATAGGTTGCATTATGCTATGGTAACAAAAAGATATCCCCAAATGCAGGGACTTTCTTGCTCACTTTATATGCCCAGTGTGGGTATTGGGGGGGTTCTGCTCAGTGCAGATGGAGCCTTGTCACCAACATGCTCCCCCAATTGCCATGGAGGGAGAAGGGGGAAGTGGACTGACTATATGCCCTGGATGGATCCTAACATCACTGCTTACTTTATCGGCCAGTAGAAATGACAGCTACACCTAACTCAGAGTGGGTGTGTGGGGGGAGAGCAGTTCTATCACATGTTCTACTACTCTCCCTGCTTCTGCTTGTCTGTCCAGTCCCTTTCACCCCTCAGCAAACATAACGGTGCTCCCAGAGGGAGAGCAGGTTGTATGACCTAGAGAAAATATAGCTGTTGGGGGTCTCTTCCAGAGCAAGTGTAACCTGCTGGTTAGGACAGAAGGCCCCTGGCTCCTATAGGAGGCCCAAACAAGCCTTCTTATCTAGTTGCTGGCCTTGCTGAGGTAGGAGCTGCTCCTGCATGTTCATGCCTAACATCTGGTCCCTGTCTACCTGGGTTGGCCTGGCTTTGTCCACAAGTGGGTATGAGCTTCCTCATAGCTCCTCCACCCAAGTTCCACATCCAGCCACAGGGGTCACCAGACTTATGGCCCAGTGTCCCTTGGCGGCATGCCTTGCTTCCAGCTTCAGTTTCCCCTTGCAGAAAACGGGGGTGCTGCGCCTACCCTTGGCCCATGCTCAAATAGTACCCCTCACTCACTGTAGGGCCACGACTGCTTCCCAGTGCTTTTTACCTACGACGGGGCTGCAGGGACGCTGAGCTTCGGAGGGCGGCTGGACGTGCCCAAGCAAAGCTCGCAGCGTGGCTTGACAGCCCGGGAGCGCTTCCAGAACCTGGACAAGAAGGCGAGCTCCGAAGGAGGTGTGGCTGGAGTGGCACTAGACTCCCTGCACAAGAACAGTGTCAGGTGAGGGTGGGCCTGGGGCGGGGCCTGAGCTTCCTGCCCAAAAAAAGGCAGGTGAGGGTGGGGCTGAGGAGGGGGGCCGGTGGGCAGTGGACCTGGGAGTGGCTGATCTGGACTCATCCCAGCAGCATGAAGGCTAGAGCCCTGATACAGGAACCCAGATCAACCCTTTCAGGTGGCATAAAAATAGCATCCAATGAGGGCAAAGCAGCCAGTCTCTCTACACTTGTAGGACACGGCTGTGTGGGGATCATCAGAAGCCTGGGGCCTGTAGTTCTCTGCAGGCACTGGGGGGTGGCCAGGCAGTGACCAGCGGCTTATGAGTGGGGCCACAGCTGAAGTAGGCCTAGTGCTGGAAACTGGTTATCTGGTAGCAGAATTAAGGGTCAGGCTACAGCCTTGAGGAACCAGGGTGGGATGAAGGGAAGGCCCTCCCAAACTTCCACATTCCACCAGCCACATGCGTCCAACCCATGGTAAATAGAGAAAAAAATGTGGCAAGACTTCCCAACTGAGCCAGTTCAACCCTCCTGTGGCTGCCGAGTCCAGTGTTGTCTTCAGACCAAACACTTCTGCCGGGCTTTCAAAGCTCTTCCGAACTAGCTCCTTGATCTCCCAGCTCCATCCTTTACTTTCTTCCCATTGTGCCACCACTACACATATTCCCCAGACATACCCTACATGCCCTGCCCAGGCCTTTGTATCCTATTCCAGTTGCCTGGGCCACCATGTGCACCTTTCACATTACTGCTGTCCCTAAAGCAGACTTGTAAGCCCCACACACAGCCTGCCTTCTAGGCTCTCCCTTTGAAGCACACCCCAGCACTTGGCCCTGAAATCAGGAGCTCCTGGAGGGCAGTGTGGACTTGAGTCCGCGTAGGCATAGGCTGGGATCCATAAAGGCTTCATCCTCTTTGCAGCCAAATCTCGGTGCTCAGCGGGGGCAAGGCCAAGTGCTCACAGTTCTGCACTACTGGCATGGACGGCGGCATGAGTATCTGGGATGTGAAGGTGAGGTTCCCCGTCCCCACCTTTCTCCCTGGCAGCTGCCCTGGATGCCCTGTCCTTCATTTCTGCAGGAAAAAGGCACTTTGATGGAATGAGGGTGGCAGGGATGAGAGTCCACCCCTTGACACCTGGGCTCAGCAGGCTCTGGAGCAACTTTTTAGGGCTGAGATTCAGACCCAGTTCTGGTCCCCAAAGACCCAAGTTTTCAGTCCTCTTCCTGGCTGGGGCAGGGCAGGTGTGGGCCAGGTCCTTGCAGGTAGGATATCTGCAGGACAGCTGAGAACCGGTCTGTTCTGTTCGCCTCCTTCCAGAGCTTGGAATCAGCCTTGAAGGACCTCAAGATCAAATGACCTGTGAGGAGAATATTGGCCTCATCCCAGCTGCTGGGGGAAGGATCAGGGAAGCTAAAGCTCGCTTTGCTGAATGTCTCTAGGGTACCAGTTTGGGTCCCCATAGGGGGAGGGGAGGGGTAGGAACCTATTCTTACCTATTTGAAGGAACATGTGCCTTTTTCTTGAACAAATACTTTTCATTTACTGTAAAAAAAAAAATGTCCTCAAAGCACTCTGCTGGTCATGAATTGCTTCAAAACATAAAGGTTATATAAAAATGTAATTGCAGACATGCTTGCCTGTGTTTGGAAGAAGTTAGTTTTTGCATGGACACAGGTAATTTTTCTTGCCAGTAAAATTGATTGGTAAACCCAAGAGCCTTCCCCCAAATGGTTCCTTTGCCACTGCAGTCCAGCCTGGAGGCTGCCAGGACCTGGTGTCTTTCCTGTCAGCCATTCAGTGGTCAGATTCTTAAACAAGTGGTTGCACATTCCAGGTTGCTTCTGGGCTTTAATGTAAATTCATTTCTACTCTATTTGATGTTTGCAGTGGGTTTCTGGTAAATACTCATTTTTTAAGACATCTTTTCCCTTATTTTATTCAGGGGGTTATTTTTGTTTAATCACATACTTTTTAGTTACCTACTTATATATAAATCATGGTTTTTGTTTTTTAATGTAGATAGTTTTCTGCAGGCCAGGGTGAGCTACAGATGCTGGCAGCTGTGATATCCCTCCTGGGGTGCCCAAGGCTGTTGACTTCCAGCATGCTAAAGCCCAAGGGAGTGGTAGAGATCTCTGGGAGCCAGAGGCTTGCTTCCATCTCTGCTACTAAATCCTGTCTGACCTCAGGTCAAACCCCCTGCACGGTACCCAGTCACTGATCTCTGAGGACCGTATGCAAAGAACACTGCTGTTCACGAGGCAGAACTGGCAGTGTGGCCAAACCCGCAGGCAACCCATGTGATTGTGTTAAACCCCAGTGTCCTTGCTGCCACCCCCACCATACTGGGTAATAATGACTGAATGGGGTGTTGCCTGACAGTCATGTGGGTATTAGCTATTGGGATACTTCCTCTCAGCACTGAAATCCTGAGGCTGTCACCAGCAAGGGGCACCTGGAGGACAGGACAGGGAGGTCCAGTACTGATGCCAACCTACTGTGGATATGGGCAAGTCCCTGGCCACCCTAGCCTAAGATCCCTACTTGGTTAAAGGGAGGGGGTTGACTCCTGTATCCTAAGGTCTCCCCAGTTTGGATGCCTGGGATCCAGTCCCCAAACCCTGCCTAGTGTCAACTAAACCTTGTGGGGCAGGCCTGACTTGAGTGACAGTATGCCCTGCTGAATGAAAATGGCCCAGGCACAGGGGACCAAAGATGGATCATGGAACAAGGATTTATGATAATGTCGAGTTTAATCTGCCAAATATACAAGTTGGATTTGTGGAACGTGTTTGTCTGAGTGCTGCACAGTAAACAGAGGTTTCTTGAAATGATCCATGGATAGGGTTAAGAACAGGCCCTGGCCAGACGAGTGGGAATGGGGCAGAGAACGGCACAGGGGAGGCCATGGGACAAGCCTTGACCCTCAGGGACCCAGGGGTACAGGCTCCCAGGTGACAGGCCCTGAGTGAGCACCCAGGCAACACAGATGGCCTGGCTGTCAAAAACTCACCAGCACCCCTTACCGTGCAATCTACTACACAAATGGAAGCTCTTCTTATCCCACCTCCCAAGCACCCCCAACAAGGGTTCTGAATTCTAAAAACAGCAAAAACATTCGAATGGTTACATATGAAATGCTGTCCTGCATCTTTCTGTCTCAAAGATAGCAGCTGCCCCCTCCCCCCAGCCCCCCACCCACCATCCCCCAAACAATTTCTGTGCCAAGATGAAGAGGAGGCCCCAGGCCTTGAGGGACTCCTTGTCTTGAGGGGCTGCTGCAGCGGCACCAGGGCACAGGGTGGGTGAGACACAGCAGCAGTCCTGGCCGCCATGGCCCAGTTCCCTGGTATCTCCTCCCTCGGGCCACACTACTTATTCAGGGATAGCGACTGCATTCGTTTTCCTGACAGGGTTGCATCATCTTTTGCTGAGGATGGAAAGGAAAGGAATGAGTAAATTAAAACCCCTCCATATATACATCCCCACTTCTAGAATCTAAAACTAAGTCTGAAAGGCCTCAGAAAACATTTGTGCAACTGACTCACTGGGGAGATGAAGACTGAAGGAGGCCTGCCTGATGTCCTCCAGAGGGAGAGGATTCCTGCTGAATCCAACTGTCATCGAGTTTGGGGGCCACTCCTTAACATCCCACCAACATGTAATCCCCTGCCCCTGTGGGACCCAGTAATTCTAATCTTTCCACATGGGTTCTGAATTCTCTAAAATCAGCAACAGTGTTCAAATAAGTTACACAGAAAGTCCTTTCCTGCTTGGGATTTGTGAAGCAAGAGCTGCTAGCAGGGAGTTGGAATAACCAGGTATCTACAGTGTGGTAACAATGTCCCTGGGCAACTGCTTTCCCATTTCTAGGTTTCAATTTCCTTGCATCTGGTAAGGAGGCAGGATAGCAAGATCCCCAAGGGCGCTCATGGTCCCACATGTGGGAGTACATGAGACTAGGAGACAGAAGGACATGAGTCAAACACTCCTGTAAACCAGACCAACTCCCACAGCCAACCTGGCCTACAGGAGTCCTCTACCACCTTTGGCCCCACTGGAGAGAGGACATGGGGGAAGGAGGACACATGCCAGATTTCATCGGAGTCTGCACCATGAAATTCAGCCCCCCCTACACCACCTCCCCAACCCCCAGACAGCTCTCCCAGCCACACAAGGCACCAGACCGTGGTGGGACTTTTCAGACTTGAAGGTCTGCACTTGGTACATCCCTGAGACTTCCCTCGGATGCCATGAATATAGTGCTGAGGGTCAAATCCATATCTGACTCCATGCTTCCACTGGACCCTCCTAAAACCGTTAAGGGGAGAGGGCAGAACGCCCACTTCCACCTGACAGTAATGAAGGCAGGCATACATTCAAGGTAGGCCTCTACCAATAACCTGACCCCATCCCATTTCACAACCAGGACAGTGAAGTACAGGGTTTGGTGCCCAGAACCAGAGTCAGGCAACGCTCTAGTGACTCAGGACTTACCTTTCCTCTCTTCTTCTTTTTTCCTGGCAGCCTCCTCCCGCTGTTTTCGAATTATCGCCAACCGAGCAAGGTCAGCCTTGGCTTGCTCTGTCTTCCCAGCTAAATGCATTTTCATGTAACGTTCTTTTGCTTTCTGCTTCTCGATTTCTTCTCTGTTTGGATAAAATTGTGTCACAGGGAACATCTTCCTACCATTATCAGCTGTATGTAGGAGCCAGAATAAAGGCCAAATACTCAGGCCCAGGGCCCAAGTGGTGGAGAGCACCCTGGCTCTACATGCCCCCTCCTTGATGGACACTCACCAAACACACAGAAGGACAGGTCTGGACCTTTGCATAACAGGCTCAAGGGGCTGAGGGGAGTTCAAGAGAAGTACTTATCTTCCTCAGATGGAAAACACAGCATAGGGGTGAGCTCAGCACCAGTGACCTTTGAAAAGCCTTAGCACAGTGTGGACCATGGGATGGTGAGGGGATGGGCAGGGTGTCACTAACTAGGATCCGGTGTCCAGAGAAACAAGAACCAAAACCAAGTGAACTGTGTGTCCAGAGAAGACCAGGAGGAGGAAGGCAATACAAAACATTTTGTAAGGAGTGAACCAAGTGTCCACAGATGGGAACCAGACATAGCCACTCAATCAGTGCAGCTCAGATTTGCATGAAGCTGCCACGAAGGGAGTGAGCCCCCACAGACAGGGGTGTGAATAAGAACTAAATTCCCATGGAACAAATGTGACTGCCACCAAGTAGAGAGGTGAGAATCCTTATAGGATCCCTTTGAGGATCTTCCCAAGATTGAGATTCTGAACTAGATAAGATGCCTTCCACGGTGTGAGATTAGAGTGTCTCATTTACACCAAGTTTTTAGAAGAGCCAACTTTGGAGATGGCAGGGAAGTCCTGCTTGGCAGGAGCTTGGGGAAAAGAGTGACTTGGCATCCAGAGGCCCCATAGCACACAGCGCTGGGGTGTAATGAAAAACAATCCATGGAACCTGGCCAACAGGGAGGGAAAGAAACCCAGCAACCATGTCGGATGAACAAATGTCTCGCCCGAAGACTCTGCACAAGACACTTCAAAGATGAAATGGGAATACCTGTCAGCCCAGCAGATCCTCCCCTGAGAGGGAGGAGCAGGGCACAGAGGCATCTGGAATGTTAAGCAAAGCTGCCTGAAGACTGCAAGGTCCCCTCAGTGAAGTGCTAGGTAGGGTACAGGCCTCTCACTCTACAACCCAAAAGGTGGAAGTGGCAAAGGCTGCCTTTCTCACTGGTGAGAAAGACGCCACTGGAGGGTGACAGTCCATCACAGCCTCTAATCACACCCCAAGCTCATGGGCCTTCCTTAGGGGTTTTCATGTGTCTTGTGGGATTTTCAGACACCACCATGGAGCCAGCACAGGAAGGTGAATTTAAATACTAGCAGCCCAGTCAGGAGAGAAAACAGGGCCACTTTCACTAGTGGCCTTCAACTTCTTGTAAGTCCCGTGATGTCAGCTGGTGTCTATCAAAAGCCAGGATACTACTTGTAGAAAACGGGTTATGTGTAGGGCCCTTGGTTACTCGACTGTGATCCTCACACAACCTATGATGAAGCTATCTGTAGCTCCACTTTCAACTGAGACTTGGAGAAGGCTGGGGCAGCCAGTGGATCTCCCTGCACTGTGCTACCTTCTAGACTCCACAGGCCCCAAGTCCCCTCCCAGTCTCCATGGCCATGACATTATAGACAGTTGAAGGCAAGGAGTGATGATACCAGGCTGGACAAGGGAAGTGTCCCTACTACAGAGGTAGGAACTACAGCATAACCCTCTGCAACCCTGGATATTACTTCAAGTGCAGCACTGAGGTCTGAATCTGCGTTTATGTTTCTACTGATGAGTTTAAAGATTCTGATTTTTGTTTTTTGAACAAAAATCAGCTTTTTTGAGCTTCTACAGAGCCTTTAGGGAATGATATGAAACAGAAATCAACACCACAGCTGGAGCCCCCCCACCCAGCCAGTAAAGACCCCAGAGCCCAGGAAGTTAGAGACTCAAAGGAGGTGAATACCTCAACCCCCTACAGGTCAGCCCCTGGCCTATGTGCCCACATCAAAAGGCCCAGCAGCAGAGGTTACCGTTCTCTCCTTGAAAGCTCCTTGGGCCCATCCAGGTCCAGTTGTGTGACCTTTTTGGTTGTCTGTGCCACTCGGTTGGGGTTCTCAATGTCGATAAGGCCTTCCACACCTTTGCGTTTTTGCTAAGATAAGAAAAGAAGCTGACCGTCAGAGAAGTTTAGGTGCAGCAGAGCCCCTGAAGACCACTCCTAACATCTCCCAAAAGTCCATCTGGATGGGGACAAATTCCTGTGCCACCCCCAGCTCAACACAATGCTTGGCCCAAAGTCTCACAGTGGGAATAGCACTCAGGAGTGTCCTCACCAGCCTGGGAGGTGCAAGGAGAGCAAGTACATGTGACTAGAGCCCAACCTATGCTAAGTTCCAGCAGCCAGGGATTATTACCCCACTTTCAAAAGTGATACAACAGAGGCAGAGGATTCAATAACTTGCCTAAAGCCAACAAGTAGACAACAGATGAGATCAAAATCTAAGCCCATCACAAAAACTCCCAACACACTCACTATGCTACCACTTGAAGCTCAGCCTCCGAAAGCAGTTTTCCACAGAATCTCACATCTGTCTGCAACAAATAATGCTGGATCCCCAGAGTAGGGTAGGCCAACAATGGTCTCAGGGCCAATTCTAATTCCCAGGCATCTAAGCTTACAGGAGGGAAATACAATTTGAATCATCAGATCATAATCTACAGGTTTTGAGAGCTGGCCCAAGAACCTGGAGCCTGTACCTCCCACACCCCTGGAGAAGCTCAGAAAGAAATGAAAGCACAAGTTCTTGATGTAGCAGGCTTGGTCAGCTTCAGACCCTGTCAACACCATCTATTCTCTTTAATAAAGTGACCAGAAAGACAGCTTCTGAACACCAGTCAATCTGACCACCATACAGAGCTATAGATACCTATATCCAGTCCAGATGCATATATACCCCTCAACTTGGATACCTGACATCGCAAAATGAATGTCTAAAACAGAACCTGAGATTCACCCTCGACCCACCCCACTCCTCCCCACAACCCGAAGCATGGCTTTATTCATTCCTTCTTCCCTCAGCCACCTCACCCAACCCTCAGCAAACCTAAGTCTATCTCTAAAATATGGCTTGAATCTGCCCACTTTTCTGTACTGCCATTACTACCACCATAATATAAGTCATAAATTCTTGCCTGGATACTCTCCTCCTTCATCTCTAGCCACTCTACTTCTTACCCACCAAGTCACAGTCCCACCAACCTCTCTGGTTCCTTACACATGCTCATGGTGTTCCCACCCCAAGGCCTTTGCATTACTAATTAATCTGGCTGCCTGGACTGCTGTGCATGGCTGGCTCCATCTTGTTTGTGAGATCTCAGTTTACAAGTCACCTCCTCTCCACACACTACTCCAAGTACCCTCAACCACAGTCCACTACTTGAAATTATACTGTTCATTTACTTCCTTATAGTCTATACAATCATGATGCATTTCTCACATTCTCACTTTCATCAGTGTTCAAACTTTACAGAGTATACTTACACAAACCTAGATGTAGTATAGCCCTCTACTGCAATTGTATGTGCTATATATACTTTTTTAAAAAAGATTTTATTTATTCAGAGAGGGGGAGGGAGGGGGAAAGAGAGGGAGAAAAACATCAGTGTGTGGTTGCTCGAATGTGCCCCTTGTTGGGGACCTGGCCTGCAACCCAGGCTTGTGCCCTGACTGGGAATCGAACCTGCAACGCTTTGGTTCACAGGCCGACACTCAATCCACTGAACCAAACCAGCCAGGGCTCTATGTGCTATATATACTTTTATATAACTGACAGTAGATTTCTTTACACCAGCATCACCACTAACACATGGGTAATGCGTTACGCCACAATGTTACAATGGCTATGATGTCACTAGGTGATAGGAAACTTTCAGCTCCATTATAATCTTATGGGACCAACAACGTGGTCCATCATTAATGAAAACATCGTTATGCAGCATATAACTATCTCCCACCAGAATACAAACCCTTAAGAGCAAGGACTGAGTCTACATCTAAAATTGGCACTGGTAATCAACAGGCACTTGATAAACGTTTGTTGAATGAGTAGGTCCAGGTCCCAGGCCCCCACCAAACTCAGTACCTGGTAATCATCTTCTTCATCCTCACTCTCATCTGAATCTAGTGACTTCTTCTCCTTTTTGGGGTCACCTGCAGCCCCATCTCCACTTTCTTCTCCTTGTTCCTCTTCTTCCTGTTTCAGAAATGGACAACCTGTAGAATTAAAAATGCAAAACAAACTCCCAAGACTGTGACCCATGCCCCAAGCACCTCCAGACTATAGATCTTGAGAATACTGGGACCAAGGAACACAAGGGTCCTACTCCTAGACCCTGGCCCCCCCATAGGGAACCTGGGTCAGAGACAGCCTATCCACTTGACTCTGCAGCCTAGAAGCCATCCTTACAGTCCAGCAAGCCCCTCACACAGCCATAAAGGCTCTGTTCCCCTTCTCAGGGTAGGTACATCTTCCAGGATCAGAAAGGTTCAGCTGTGGGGCTAGAAACCATAGTCCTCTTCAGCTCCCACCTTGCTTCCCCAACTGCCAGGTGCAGCTGCCAAATTGTACTCACTTTCTTGGGCAAGTCCTCCCCCACTTTCCATTCCCAGTCAGTGGCAGGCCAGTTGCTCCAACCTGCCCATGCAGATGACCTGCTACACCAACTTTCCAAGACAATACCCCGGCACACCACTTCCCTCCACCTTTCTTGCCTCCCCACCAAAGAGATCTCTTACAAAAACTGTACATCCTTGCCCCTTTAGCACTGGCCCACACATTCTCCAAGATCCTGCTCAGTGACACCAGGCAGGCCCTCCTTCCCTCTACCCCAGCCTGACTGTGCTCCTTCAGCCCTTATGCAGATGATTTAATGATATGGTAGGGGACAGGAACATCAATAATGACAGAAACATATTTTGTTTCCTAACAGTGGACTGAAAAAAGCACTGTGGAAACAGAGTAGAGGCAACTACTAAGCTGCACTGGAAGGGGAAGGGTGGGTACCATCAGTGAGAGTTAGAGAAGAGGTGCCATTGAGCAAGGTCTGGGGGAACAAATGTTACTTTGTCTGGGAGGCTGTGGGAAAGGCAGGGCATCATGTTATGCTGGGTTTGGCAGGCAGTCCTGCATGTCTAGAGCAGACAGGGGTGGTGCCAGGAACTCAACCTGGTAATGAGCAGAGCCTGGCCGTGGGAGAGCTCCTGGAAGGTGGGAACACAGGAACAAGAAGGCACACTAAGGTGACCATTTCTAAGTGCTCAAAAAAAAGCTGTAATTGATCCAATCAAAGGAAAGCTGGCATTGGTTGTTCTGAGACTCCTACCTATTCCTTGCTGCTCCCCCAAACTCCAAGTGTAGGATTCTTCCTGAGAACGGATGATCCTTGCCTGGCTTCTTTGGGTACCAGAGGCAGAACACCACCCTGGGGCACTGGAATGGACTAGACAGGCACATACTCACCCGAGCCTTCTGCTTTTCAGCCTGGAGCTGTGCATCGATCTCCTCGGGGCTTGTGTACTGCCGTGCCCGGCCTTTGTGGCCTCCCTTTCTACCTGAAGGAGGATGGGTAGTTTAGGAACACAGGCAGGAAGTACCTTCCTTGACTGCTGAGCCAGAGGGCTGCGTCCTGCTGGAGACACTCTCATAAGAGGTTGCAGACCTCACTTACCCCTCACCAAGCACAACCTAAACCTATACTCCCCAACCCTCACATGTTCAAAGGGACAAAAAGAAGCAACATATGTCCAATGCAGCACCGGACTATGTACTGGACACAGGCTCCCACAAACAAGACCTGAGGGGAGGATACAGGGGAGGGAATATTCCATGTAGTAACTGGCTAAATCCCCGGGTCCCTTAGATTCCAAACAGCAGATTCAGACGTAATCATGAGAATATGAAACACATCCCTGCTGTCTCTACAATTTTTTACTTGAAATTAGAGCCATGGGTTCTGTCAGAGCCATGGGCTCATTTGATCCACAGGACAAACTTATGGTACAGGGCAGTCACAACTGGTCCCATTTTACAGACAAGCAGACTTAAAATCAAAACAGAGCCGTGAGGACACAAATGTTGCAGTCTGACCTTGGGATTCAAATCTCAGCTCTACCACTTACTAGCTTTGTGAACATGGGCAGTTACTTATAACCTCTAAGTCTCAGCTGTTGCTTGTGTCCCTACCTCATAGCATTGTCATGAAGGATTTAATATACTTAAAGCTGTTGGGACAGGGCCTGACATGAGATAAACACTATAAAAATGTTTGTTCTGACTGTCACTTTTCTATACAGTATTTGGGGCAGGGGAAGGAAACAAAGCCACATAGGTGATTTAAGATACATGTCATGGAATGCAAAATATTAGGTTAGCCAAAAAGTCCAGTTAGTTTTTTCCATAAAAGACACATTTTTCATTATCACCAATAACTTTACTGATTTGGATATTTTGAGCATGTAGGCTATTATTGCCCACTAGTGGCTTCTAGTGGGTAAAGGTTAGGGGTGCTGCTAAATACCTTCCAATGCATAAGACAGCCCCACAGCAAAGAATTATTTGGCCAAAATGTCAATAGTACCAAGAAACTTCACAAACCACTTCTGACATACTTAATCAGTCACAGCACCTTCTCCATACACTGCACAAATCTTTTTTTGCATTTCAGCTGTGTTTTCACCTTTCTTGAAATAATAATAATAATATGCTGAGAATGTGTATCTTCTTCCATCTTCAATATTCAAATAGCTGCACAAAATTCATCAGTTTTGATGTTTTTTTTTAATTTTATTTAGTTATTTTTCAAGTACACTTTTTTGTCTATTTTTCCCATCCCAGCCTCCCCCGCCCCTTGCTCCCCACCTCCCTCCCTTTTCCACCCCCTAGTTCTCGTCCCTGTGTCCTTCCTATTTGTTCCTCAGTTTTGATGTTTTAAAAAAAAAGGCTTGCTACTATGACAGCTGCCACAATACAATCTAACAAAATTGTTTTGAATGAAGTTAAAAACAACTAAGCACTACTAGAGCCATTGTACAGAAAAAAGTAATCTTTTTGCCCAGCCCAATATTTCATGTTCACCTTAGTATGATAGAAAGAGAAAACTTAAAACCTATTGGAGAAAACTTTCTTGTACTTGGAATAAGAAACATAAAGTTGAAAATAAACCTGACTACCACCTAAGAGTTAGAGTTAAAAATATGACTAGCAATTCAAGTTCATTTGGGAGTATCAGTTCTATAGACTGACCCCTGCTTAAAGCCATCTGTCAGTTTTATAGCAAGGTGGCACCCCTTCTGCTGGTCCCAGAGGACACTGCGATGGCTGTGGTCTTGACCCATCCCTGCGTTTCCTGAAAACTATGGTCCACCTGACTTGCAGTAAGACTCTCACTGGTAGCAGAGGATCTCTATTAGACAATCAGAGCTGCTCTAAACACCAAAGACAGTAACAAAGATACTGGCCTCCCCTGATTTCCTAGACAGCAGCTGCAGAGCCATAATTGGGCTGCTACAAAGTACACCACCCACTTTTAATGACTACCTTGGTTCCCAGGAGTATTTCAGTATATGCTCATGAATGTCCTATTGTGAGAGATCAAGCTGCCATTTTAAGAAACCAACACCTTTCTTGCCCCCTTAATATTCCAGGCAATAGCAACAACTCAAAATTGGCTACAACAGGCTCCTATCCTGCACACTTGACTGTGGGATGCTGACCTTAGTTTGGTCTATAATAACTTTTATTAGAAGCCTTTCATGCATTTAAAAATGCTTCACGGTTATAGAATGGAAATAAATTTGGTCTTTTGCTCATGGAGAATTTGATACCTTAACATCTTCATGTTTTTTACTTTTGAAGCAAATTAACACAATTTCTTTATATTAAGAAATATAAATCTTGTTTACATACAAAGCTTTTTACAGGTCAAAAAGCCATGTCATTTAACTAAGAAGTCACTTTTAGGACTTTCTAACTAACCTCCAACTGTAGTTCAAAGTATCTCCTACAGCCAGAATTCTGGAGTCAGAAGGGCTCACTTAGCATCCTCTTTGTGCAGAAGACTAAGGAATATAGAGACATGGCTCGTCCTACCACAAAACAAACAAGTAAATAACTAGGTTTAAATAGATACAGCTCTGTAAAGTCAACTGCCTCCGGAAGTAGAGTCAAGAAGTCACTTAGGTTTGAAAAAGCTCCAAGTGGATTTTCTTGTGGGTGGATACACTCCAACCAACATAACACATGATCTACCAATATGAACTGAACATTCGTTCTGTGCCAGGAGCTAACCAGGCACCTCAGGTGCTATCATTTTATGACCCTTGACTCCAACTCTCCAACCTAAGGGTTATCAGCCAGGTGTTTCAGATGAAAACAAGCTGGAAGAAGTTAAGTAACTTGTCAAAGCCACAGGATGGACTTCAAATCGAGAACTATTGACTTAAGAGGAAGAGAATGGAGGAGGGTCGACAATGTACTGGGAAACCATAGACCCTTTACCTCTTTGGCCAAGGAAGTGAAAAAGTCTTATACATAACAGCTAACGCTTACTAGACACCTGGCTGCGTCTCACTGTATTGCGCGCTCCACGAGAATTACCTAATTTAAAGTATAGCATCGGGTAAGTACTATGAGGTATGTACAATCATTACCCCCATCAGCAAATGAGAAAACCGAGACACTGGGAGATTAAGCGACTGGCTCAAAGGCACGCGTCAAGCCGATGCTGAAATACGGCACTCAAAGCTGAGTCTCCAACGCTCAAGAGCATCATGGGGCTCGTCTCATCCGGCAGGCCTGCCGTGAGCCCGAGAGGGCCCACGTTTTACACGCGAGGCAGGTGGGCCCTGCACAGGCGCGGGACGCGGTGACTCAGTCCACGGCGAGTCTACAATAAAGCTCCTAACTCCCCCGTTCTAGAAGCGCGCCCTATATCTGGCCTTGTGCGTGGGTGAAAACCCGGAGCCTCCGAGTTCCCTCAGACCCCGAAGGGAGTGGCTCGAGGCCACGATAGTCCTGTCCCCATCGAGACAATTAGGCATGGAGGCCCAATTTTGGCCCTCAGTCGGCACCGACATCCTCCCTCTGCGCCGCTCTCCGAGTCGGCCACGGGCTCAGTGGGCAGCAGGAACCAGACTCCAGCCGCCCCTCGAGGCCCTCCGGCCACGCGCGCCGCCCCTCACCTCCTTTAGGCATCGCGGCTCCGGCGGCGGCAGCGGCGGCGGCGCCTTGCACTGACACCGGAACCGGAAATACCTGGTGATGGACGTCTTCCGTCCAGCCCAGTCCCCACCGCACGCCGCTGCCGCCGCCTCCGCAGCCGCCACGGGGACTGGGAAACCCAGTAAAGCCGGCACACGGAGCTGGGCTGTCCCCCGTGCCGCCTGATTCCAGGCTCGCACGCGTGTTGCCGGGCAACAGCACCCCCAGTCGCCCCTCTGGGGGAGACGCGTATGTCGGCTGGTCAACCCCTGGGAAATAAGGGTAAAAAGGCAACAATGATTCCGGTATTCTATACAGGCCGAGCTGCGGACACCTAAGATAACGCAATATTTGCGCAGGGTGGGGCGGGGCTCCGTAAGGACCTCATCCTGAAGTGATCACCTGGGAAGCGGAAGCGGTGGGGAAAGAAGCGGCGGTCTACGGCGTTAAAGGTTCCGGTGGGTGTCTGATCTTTTCTCGAGTATGTTGGTAATGGCTGGGGTCAGATATCAGAGGTCTGCACTGGCCCAGAGAGCGATCTGGCCCGGGGCGGGTCCGGGCCTCTGGAAAGGGAGGTCGCAGTGAGATCGGAGAGTAGGCGGCCCCTCGGTCGTTTTGAAGAGGGGATGGGAGGCTTGGGGCTTCTCTTGTTTCTTTCTCTCCTCGCTCCCATACACGCCGTTTTTTCTACCGAGTACGTCTTCTGCCAACAAACTGCTTGTTGTAAGCCTGGTTCAGATGCTGTCTGTCTATATTTAAGCCTTTATTTCAGTCCTGGATGTAATGTTTGTCCTCTTTTCCTCCGAAAGCCTTCCCACTCGACGCCTCTCCCAAACGCTACTGTCTCTGTTATATCTCCCGACACCTCTTGATCTAGTTTACCTCCTACCTGTACCTCTCCTGGGAGGTCTTTTCTCGACTCCAAGGCTGGGCCAGGGCCCTCGAATTTCCCTGGGTGATAGCAGAATGGTTATTCTTGTGTCTTTGTACTCCCAGTCCTTGCGTGATGAGGCAGGAACCAGATTCCATCCATCTCTATCTTAAAACGTAGGGAGACAAGTGCAAAGACTATTGATTTGGGGGTCAGGAGCCCCCAGTCAGAGTCAAACGCTGCCAGTTCCCAGCTGTGGGACCTTGACTTTACCATCTGGAGTTTAACTCTTTATCTGTATGGTTGTTAATGGAGAATTCGTGAAAGGAAGCTGTGAGGGTTGGAAGGATTTTGTAAACCGTCTTGCGTCCTACGGAAGGGAGAAGCTGAATGACTTTGGGGGAGAGGAGTCTGCTATACTTAACGATGAAAGATAACCCGAGTTCTCTGCCAACTAGGAAATGCTATGAGATTTGAAAAAAATTATTTTCTATTTGCATTTGGGCTGGACTATTTTTATTATTGTTTTAGTTTTTTGTTGTTGAGTTCAAGTACAGTTGTTTCCATATGGGCTGGACTATTACATGGGCTTTACACGACTTGCCTCTAGGTTGTATGTTTGTTGAGTTTAAAAAGAGACCTTGGCACCCTGATCAGGTGGTTCAGTTGATTGGAACATTGTCCTGTACACAAAAAATATTGTAGATTTGATTCCCGGTTTGGGCACATATACCTAGGTTTGGGGTTCAACCCACTATTGGGGTGTGTATGAGAGGCTATTGATGTTTCCCCCCCCCAAATCAATGAAAGCATATCCTTAGATGAGGATTAAAAAGAGACCTTGGCAATCCAGCTAATCCGCCACTCTCACTTTACAGATGAGACTGAGGACCAGAGAGAGAATGTGACTTCCCAAAGTCACAGAGTATTTGGTAGAGCTGGACAAGAACCTGAGCCTGTAACTGAAGAGACCAGAGATCATTCAGTTACAATCTTGGGAAACAGCCCTAAGGTACTTTGGCTTTATGTGGTCTTTTTCCCTTTTTAAAGGCTCATCCTTTCAACTCCTCCCATACTTCTCACATTGGGTTTGCTTTTTTGCTTTCTATCTCCTTTCTAGATTGTCACCTTCTCAAGGACAGAGGTTATATTTTATTCTTTGTTCTGTGTTCCCAATATCCGGTACAGGGGCAGGCTAATGGTTGGTGTCAGTAATCAATGACAACAGCAAAAACCAATTAAACTCTCATTAAAAGCCAGGCATGTTACATACAATTATAGTTATATTTTCACAATGACCCTATAATGTAGGTTCTATAACCCCATTTTACAGATGCGATAATAGTGTTAGAGAAGTGAATGAGCCCCACAATGGATGCTGGTGAGGGCCTTTGAATGGCTGAGATTCTAAAACTAATTTACTTAATTTTTCCTCTCAGTTCTTTGCAAATTATCTTGTGGAGGAAAATGCCTAAAGTCAAAAGAAGCCGGAAAGCTCCCCCAGATGGCTGGGAGTTGATCGAACCAACACTGGATGAGTTAGATCAAAAGATGAGAGAAGGTGAGTAGAGGACTTCCTGTCTGGGGGGCTGTATCCAAGGGTCATGCCTCTATGGGCCAGGCATAAATGTATGTCTAAATGCAAAGAGACAGCACCAGTATGGCCTCCTGACACTGACATATTTTGTTTGCTTATTGATTCACGGGAATAGAATTAAGTGCCAAAAAGGAAGATAACACTAATGAAAAGGGCCTCAAGAACGTTTTGAGGCCAATTTGCATATATAAATTTTAGGGAATATAGAGGAAATAGTTTGCCTGTAATTACTTAGTGTTTTGGGTTGGGTGTATATTTAATATCATACAAAAATGTATTTATTTGGAAAGTCCTGTGCTTCTTTTCACTTTTTTCTGAAACATTCAGATTTTTCCTTATGGGTTTCTGACAATCTTTTCATCGTCTTTGTTTCTGCGTCATCTACGGGTTTCTAGAATGCACCATCTCACTTCCCTCTAAGTGTATAATCTTGCACTTGCAAATCAGTGTAGTGTACTCTTTTTGGAAGTTTTATTACAAGCCACAAGCATCTTTGGCCTCATATGATCACCTGTGTAACCCTTTATTAAATTGCTTCTTCTTTTTTTTTTTTTTAACCTCACCCAAAAATGTTTATTGGTTTTAGAGAGGAGGGGGGAGAGAAAGAGTATCATTAATATGAAAGAGAAACATTAATCAATTACCTCTTAAATGCACCCCAACTGGGAGGGTCAAACCCCCAACCTGTTTATGTACCCACACCCTTTCAGCATATGAGACAATGCTCCAACCAATTGAGCCACCATGCCAGGGCCTAAATTGCTTTTTAAAGTGATTTTCTTAAGTTTGAGATAACTAACCATTGTTACTGTGGAGTCATACTTCAACAGTAATTACTGAATCAGTGTTAAATTACTTTGCCTCCTTTTTCCAAAACCTCTATTAAATTCTAAAACTTAAAGTAATCAAGATCATTTTGGGCTGAGATTTCTTCCCCAAATAGATCTTTGTTCATAATAAAGGGACTTGGAGAGTACTGTAATAGGTGAGGTTTTATGAGTCCTTAAAAATAAGTCTTCCTTTCTTAATGGATGACTTTTGGGGGGAGAGTATTTAGACCTATGTGATCTTCTTCACCTCCAAAAGAAGTATTCTGCCCTGCCTGGTGTAGCTCAGTGGATTGAGCGCAGGCCTGTGAACCAAAGGATCGCGGTTCAATTCCCAGTCAGGGCATGTGCCTGGGCTGCAGGCCAGTTCCTAGCAGGGGACATATGAGAGGCAACCATATATTGACATTTCTCTCCCTCTCTCCTTCCTTTCCCCTCTAAAGATAAATAAGTAAAATCTTTTTAAAAATTATTTTTAAAAAAGAAGTATTCTTTCTCCCATTTTTACCTAACCATGTAGCCCTTCAGCATTTCTTCGCTTGTCCAGTTTACTCTTACTTCCACTATAAAGAAAACAGAGTGGGTGGCAGGTGGTGCCAGGCGGTGCCAGGCTTGGCTTCGGTGTTGGGAACCGCAGGGAGCTCTGGGAGTGTGGCAGGCTGAAGAGGGCCAGAAGCTGTTTCTTCTGAGCCCGTTTTACCATACTGAATACAGCTTGAGTGTCACCCAATTTGCTAAATTTTTTTCTCCCAAGAGAAGCCGGAAATCCAGTTATTTTATGTAAACTGTTCTAATTTAAAATTCAGACTTTAAAAAATTCTGTGAGAGGAGCCAAACAAAGCCTACCTTTAGCCTGGCTGGGGCTGCCAGCTTCCAGTGCAAGTTTGTTTTATTAACAGTTTTCTTTTACTTATTTTCAGAGAGGGGAAGGGAGGGAGAGAAACACTGGTGTGCAAGAGAAACTTCGGTCGGTTGCCTCTTGCACACCCCCAACTGGTACCTGGCCCACCACCCAGGCGTGCGCCCTGACCAGGCATCAAACTGGGAACCAAACTGGCAGCCCTTTGGTCCAAGGCCAGCACTCGAGCCACACCAGTCAGGGCAGCCATTGCAAGTTTTGCCTGTGGAATCTCTGGCCATGCTTTTAGGCAATGGAAGACCCCCGCATGGCTTTTGCCACAAAGAGGTCTAAAGCCAATGGCATTTCTATGTCTGTTGTCTTGATCTGAGGGCCATTTATAGAACAGTTCACACTGAAGCAGTGTCAGCTGTTTATCTTAGAAGGGAAGATTTCAGCACAACTTCTTGTCTCTTCATATGTCTCTTAGCTCATTATTTAAGTTTTTGTGTAGCCACTCTTGCCCTATAAGTTCCTCCAAAGATGGCTTGATAATGGAGACTGAGGGGCAGAGGTGGGGGAAATTATGTGTGACAGGGGGTTCTATGGGGATTGATAAAGGCACTATGTCTATGGACTGTAACCAGGACTTGAAAATAACTTTGTTTTTATAAGGACTTTAAAGTAGTTGAAGCCCTGGCCGGGAGACTGTTAGTTGGGGCATCATCTTGTACACCAGAAGGTTATGGGTTCAATTCTCAGTCAGGGCACATATGGGAGGCAACTGATTGATATTTCTGTCCTCTCCCCCCCCCACCCACTTCTCTCTCTAAAAAAAAAAAAATCAATAAAACATATCCTCAAGTGAGAATTTTTAAAAATTATGAACCAGTTGAAAATTGAGCATAGTCAGCACTTGCATAATAAACATTTAATTAGGCTTTTTAAGAATAGAACTTCAAAAGAATTGTTGCCCAGGCATGGTTTTGTTTTATTTTAACTGATTTATTTTTAGAGAGAGGTGAAGGGAGGGATAAAGAGCAGGAGAGGAACATTGATGTGAGAGAGAAACACTAATGGGTTGCCTCTCGTGCGTGCCCTGACAAGGCACCGAACCCTCAACCCAGGCATGTGCCCTGACTGGAAATTAAGCCAGCAACCCTTTGCTTTGCCAAGATGACACCCAAACAACTGAGCCATACTGGTCAGGGCTTCTTGCCCAGGTTTTGAAGTTACTGAGCAGTTTCTGGCATTAGCAAAGAGGGAAAAACCTAAGTCTAGACTACAGCATGATGTCCCCTACCTCTGGCCTCTTCATATCCTCATAGTGACAGAACTTTGCATTGCCCACTGAAAGCTGCCTTCTACTTTTGTGTGAACCTACACAAAATATCCAAAAATGTTCACATGATCTTGTCAAAATGGGCCCAAAGGGAGATTTTTTAAGTGCATGATGCTATAATTAAAAGATTGAGCAAAAACTCAAAAGCGTAGGAATGTTCCACTTCCAAGATGTCATCTCGAGGAGCTCCATGCCCCTGCTTTCCACCAGTGGTCTCATCTAACCACGTTGCTTTCTGCACTCTCTACCCAGGTGACCAAATGACTTCTCCAGCCTTGACTCCCACTAGACTCTATACCAGTGGCCTATTGGATGGCCCCATTTAGGTGTCTAAAAACATGTCAAACTTAACATGTCAGAACTAAATCCTCATTCACCCACCCCAAAGATGCTTCCCTTCTCAGGCCACAAACTGTGAAGCTGTCCTTCACTCCCCTCTTCCTTTTATTACTTACTATTACAAGCATCAAAGACATCCAGATTCCTACAAAGGGTGGCAAAACAGAGAGGGAAAATTGTTACAGATAAATAAGACTTGAGACAAATCAACCAAATACAACATCTGGATGTTGTTTAGATCTTAATTCAGACACACAATTGTCAGGTATTTTTGAGGCAATCAGCGAAAATTGAACATGGGCCAAATATGGGATCCTAACAAGGAATAATAATTGGTTTTGTTGGATTGGACATTGGCATTACAGACATTAGTATGTAGAGATTGTAGAGATTCATATGTATTTATGAATGCATTGCTCGATATTTGAGATTCATTTTAAAATACTGTCCCCCCATTCCCAAAAGTGGGGACAACAGGCCCTAACTGGTTAGGCATTGTCCCACAAACCAAAAGTTCGCCAGTTCAATTCCCACTCAGGGCACATGCCTGGATTGAGAGCCAGGTCTCTGGTTGGGGACATGTGAGAGGTAACTGATCAATGTTTCTCTCCCTCTCCTTTCCCCTCCCTTCCCCTCTCTCTAAAAATAAGTAAATAAATTTTTTTTTTTTTACTTATTAAAAAGATAAACTGCAGTGTGTCTTTTTTTTTAAAAATGGGGAGAACAGGACAAAATTAAACTAGCTGTTAGTAATTCTTGAAGTTGAATGATAAGTACTTGGGAGTTCAATAAACTTTTGTGTATATTTGAAATTATTCATAGTGAAATCTTACAAAGTTCATGTATCTAAAATCTGACTCCTTTTATCCCGTCCAGCCCCACCCCCTGGGTCCAGCCGCCCTCACCTCTCATCTGGATTACTGTAATACCCTCCTCCTCCTCTCCCTGCAGTCTCCTCCACAGGGCAGCCAGGGTGATGATTTTAAGTTCAAAGTCACATTGTAACACTGTCTGCTCAGGACCCTCCAGTGGTTCACCTCCTCATGTCCTGTGACCTTCCAGGTCAAACATACTCTAATTCCCAGCTCTTGACCTCCGTCACCTGCCTGTCTCCCTCCCTTACCTCCCAGCCCCCCAGCTGCTCTACTGTTCTTTGGTCCCGAGGGACAGTCCTGCCTCAGGGCCTTTGTGTTGCTGTTGGCACTGTCTCTCAAGCATGTTTGCCCCTCGCTTTTCTTTTTTTTTTTTAATTGAGATACTATTGACATAAAACATTGGTTTTAGTTGTACAACATGATTTGATATATGTATACCTATATTGTAAAGTGATTACCACGATATGTTTAGTGTTAATAAATATCCATCTCCACACATAGTTACATTGTGTGTGTGTGTGTGTGAGAGAGAGAGATAAGAACATTTGAGATAAACTCTCCTAGCAGCTTTCAAATGTACAGTGCAGTATTGCTAACTCTCGTCTCTGCACTGCACGTTACCTCCTCAGGACTTATTTCTGACTAGAAGTTTGTCCCTTTTGACCACCTTCACCCATTTTGCCCACCTCCCAACCCCTCCCCCTTGTTTCTTAAGGTATCTGATTAGATGTCTCCTTTGTGCTTTCTTTCATCACCCATATAAAATGGCAGTCGCTCCTTTCCCCACTTGCCCATCCCCTCCCATGTTTTCTTTTTCTCTGTGGTCATCACCACTTACCACCAGGTGTTGATCCACTTCCCTCCTCCGAAACGAAGCCCTGGGACTGCTCTCCTCACTGCCGTGTCGCGGACTCCCAGAGCAGGGCCTGGCCGACAGCGGGCACACTTACTTGCTGCATCCTCAACACCTGCCTTTTGATTCAGCCACAGAAACCTGTTTGTTGAGCTGAATTACAAATCCTAGGTAATAAAACAGCCTCAAAGTTGGAGAAATAGAAGTAGAGTTTGTTTTGTTTGTTTGTTTTAACCATTCCTTACCTTTTTTTCTCTGCCCTATGAACCAAGAGGAGGTGGTAGGCAGAGATCAACTTGTGCCTGCCAGATTGCCTGTGGCGGGTGCAGGCTGCTGCCTGACCCTGTGTCCACTGATGGAGCAGCTACTTCCTGCAGCCTGCCATGCTGGGAACTTTCAGACGTGTACCGTTTTTTTCCTCTTACCTCTAAAGGATTTGGTTGGGAAATGAAGTTAGAGGCACCTTAAAGATGATTAGGATGCCCATCAGTGGGCCCAAAATTATGTTGAGAAATTATTATACTGCAGGAATACGTCTGGAAGGATAAAGATCAGGGCATTAAATAGAGCTTATCTTTGAATTATTTCTCAAAATCTTTTATTTCTAATGTGTCTAATTAAAAAGGCATTTTAAAATTAAAACAATTATGTTTAAATCACATGGCTTACTCTTTTTGCTCTATTTTTTATTTTAAATAGCTGTATAAGGTATAAATCACATAATGTAAAACTTGCCCTTTCAAAATATTAAAGGGGTGTTTCATGTATTCACATAGTTGAGCAACCATCACCGTCACCAATTTTACATTTCATCGCCCTGGAAAAAAATTACCTCTTAGTGGTCATCCTCCCCCTCCACATCTCCCAGCTCTCAGCAATCAGTAACCCACTTTCTGTCTCCAAAGACAAAGAATCATACAGTAGGTGGGCTTTGGGGGCTAGTTTCTTAGCATGTTTTCAAGGTTCATCCATGTTGTAGCATGCATCAGTACTTCATTCCTTTTTATGACCTAATTATATTCCATTGTATGGCGAGTTTACATTTTATCTGTTTATCAGTGGTGGGCACTGGGGTTGTTTCTGCTTTTTGTGTGCCTGTGCTTCTAGTTCTCTTGGGCACATACCCAGGAGCAGAATTGCTAAGTCACATGATAGCCCTTCTGAATCCTGAAGAACTGCTGGACTGTTTTCCACAGCAGCCACACCCTTTATATTCCTGCCAGCAGCAAACGAGGATTCTGATTTCTCCACATCCTCACTACGTGTTACTGTGTATTTTTTATTGTCATTTTAATTGTAACCACCTTAGTGGGTATGAAGTAGGAGATATTCTTTATTCCTAGTCATTTAAAACAAAAACACTACATCCTGTGCAGAGTAATCCTACCTGCCAAACACAATGATCACGTACCTGTTTCTCCCCAGCTGAAACAGAACCTCATGAGGGAAAGAGGAAAGTGGAATCTCTGTGGCCTATCTTCAGGATCCACCACCAGAAGACGCGCTATATCTTTGACCTCTTCTACAAGCGGAAAGCCATAAGCAGAGGTAGTTGGCTGGATTCTCTGGTGGCCTTTCCAACTTGAGTAGCTTTGAGATCTAATTTAAGTAATGGCTCTATTCTTACAACCCCAACAAGTTTCGTGATTTTTTTACCACTAGAAAAGGGGGGAAGGGGCCAGTGTTGGATACTGTGATGAGAGTAGTGATGGGCTAGGGGTGGGGCGAGCTTTGTTACATCATGGTTTGATGCCCTTTCCCCATCTTTTTGACAGAACTGTATGAATACTGTATTAAAGAAGGCTATGCAGATAAAAACCTGATTGCAAAATGGAAAAAGCAGGGGTATGAGAACTTGTGCTGCCTGCGGTGCATTCAGACACGGGACACCAATTTTGGGACAAACTGCATTTGCCGGGTCCCCAAAAGCAAGCTGGAAGTGGTAATGTCTCTCTCCCTATTGTGTCTGACAGTTAAGTTTGATGTTACTTTCACTTCAGAATTCTGCCTGGGCTCCCACCCACAAGCCCAGAGTGAGCCCCTCTGTCCAGGAAGCCATGCTAGGCACTTTAGCAGTAACCATATTTGCTATGTCTGGGGGCCAGTCTCAAGTCTACCTTGGGGCAAGTTACTGAACTCCATGCCTCATTTATGAAATGGGGGTTATGACACACACCCTTAAGGTGGTTGGGAGGACTGAGTCAGGGAAGGGTAAGCCAGTCAGCAGTGCTCACTCTTCTGCTGCCTTTTTTCAGGCCTCCTTTTTCTCAGTTTGACACTTCAATTACTCTGTATTTCTCCTGTCATCAAAACTCTGTTCCAAAGTAGGCTGGGCGGCTCGGGAATGGTGCTGGGTATGCAGTAGCTGAGCTGAGGGCACAAGCCTCTCTGAACTGGAACTGCAGGAGGCAGAGATGTTACATTAGGGGCCTTTGAGTGCAGCCCGTTGGCTGACTGTTGTGGATCCAGTTGGGAGCTTAGACCAGATTTTCCATCTTCCAGCTCGGCCTTTCACACAGTCATCACAGGGACCCTTTGCAGACTGGTTAGTTTGTACAGTTTTAACTCTGAGCCAAGGGCTTTAGCTTAGTAGGAATCATCTGGAAAGTAAAGGACAGGCATTCTGAGCAGTGGGAAGTGAATGAGGGCTGCCTCGTCCAGGGAAGGTTCTGGGGTGAGTTTCCTGGGGGCAGAGCAGCAGGAGCCCCCCTCTGGGAGCACCAGGATTCCGTGGCAGCGTCCAGTCGGGGGTCCTGCCCCAGCCCAGCCCACTTTGGATTTAGTTGGTTCCACCATCAGATCTTGTTTGCCTAAACAAGTTTTATTCCAAAAAAAAAAAAAAAAAGAGGAAAATAGATATAAACTGCTCTGGGGTCTTCTGTCCACTGGACAGGCCCCTGGCCGGGCCTCAGGCCACACACCTGGCCTGGGGGGACAAGACTGTCCTGCTACCACAGACTCAGGTGCACCCGGCTCTCCCCACACCCTCCCCCAGAGGAGGCCCTGAACAGTGGAAGACCCCTCCCTGCCCCCAGGTCACTGCAGGGCACGTCCTGTTCACTTAGCAGAACAAAAAGAATTACACAGATTTCCCTGCCCCCCTTTTAAGGGGAAAAGTTTAATTTGCATAAATTAAATGTATAGTATCAACAGCAGCTGTTTCATTTTCATAAGGGAACTGAACTTTTGCCATGCCAAACTGTCATAGAGGACTTTCTGAAGGGTTCCCATAGGGAATGACTGTCCAATTGCCAACCTTCTCAGAGTGTGGATTAGTGTGTGGGGAGGGAGGGGTGGAACGCGGGTTGGACGCACCGTCTCAGCTGTCCTCTGTTGCAGGGCCGGATCATCGAGTGCACGCACTGTGGCTGCCGGGGCTGCTCTGGCTGAGGCCCTGGAGCCCTGACCCCTCTCCACCCAGGACTTTGGACTATCACAGGTTTCTGCCTGTCGTGCCACCCCTTTCCTGAGAGCAGCTCTTCTGGTAGAGCAGTGCCCCAGGCCCAAGTTGGAGCATGGTCTCTATGTGTGAAGGCATTGTTGTTCATTAGCTGTAATTTGTAGAAATAAAACTTTTAACCTTGGGCCCTGCGTTAGTTCTTTCAGAGAGCCGGCAGTCTTGCCGCTCAGTGGGAGAGTTCCAGGCCCTTGGGACTTAACCCTTAGGTGCCATGGGACCATGGATCAAGGTCACTGTCCTGATCAGTGATGGGGCTGACAACCTCACAAGTGAGGATGGCCTGAGATGGTGTGCCAAGGTGGGCCAGCTGCACTGTAACCTGCCGTGAATTGGTCAGGCACCCAGGGCCCAGCACCTGTCCTTACATCATTACCATCAGAATACTGCGGTTCTTACTCTGGCTGACCCTGTGCTTGTGTTTGAGGCTACTCCAGTATGTTCACATATCTTTAACGTGAAAGACTCCTAGAGTTGCCACGAAGCACGGTGAGGGCTGTGTACTTAGTTCCAGCCCTGCTGGAGGTCCTCCGGGGCCTCCCCATCACCTGTCCCCAAGGCCTCTATCCACATCAGCCTCAGAGGCAGTGTCTTGGTCCCCCTTGGGCTTGGTCCGGAACTTCTGCCATGGGTGGGGGATTTCCTCTGCTGGCATCGTTTTCAGCCACCGCTTATAATAAGCTCGAAAGCCATCGATCTTCTCCAAGTAGGTGTTTTTCCCTTTGTACTGTAATTAGAAAAGCATGGAATTCAAAGATTAGAGAAACCACAGTTAGAATCACAGCCACTACTACAGCTAATCCCTAACCACAGCAGGTGTCAGGGGCCTCTGGGAAGCTGTGGAAAAGGGAGAGGGCACTGAGACTGAGTATACTAAAGAAAAGTGAAGTGTGAAGCCGTTGCACCATGAGGCAGGTCCAGGTTGCCACCTGCAAACAATCCTTCCTAAGTGTGTGGTATTCTGCTACCTCACCCAGGGACATCTTCCCAGTCCAAGCCAGAATCACTGGGTCCCACCAACTGTGCCCCTGCAGTCTGCTGAGTGCCTCCACCTCAGCACCACCACCACCTTCTGATGTCATCTCAGCACTGTGGTGGTCTCCACGGAGAGGGGGGAAAGAAGAGGAGGAAACTAGCTATACCAGGCAGGTAACCACAAGAAAGCTGGGAGAGGAATGACAGAAAAGACAAAGTATCAGATAAAGACTACATGATTATAAAAGGGTTAATTCAAAAGATTTTAACAATTCTAAACTTGTATGTATCTAATGTTGCCTAAAAGTACGTAGAGAAATACCTGCACAATCCCAAAGAAGTAAATCCACTCATATGGGAGTATGAATGTATGATTTAAATACAATCAGCTCTAAGCACTTTGGTAGTCTGGGGACTGCTGACCACCTGAGAAGACCCTTAGTGGGCCCGACACACAGTGAAGAGACAGTGTACTCACTAGTACATAACTGCCACATGCAACCAACAGGACTAGTATCCAGAATATATAAAAATACTTGAGGAATCAATAAGACTAACAACCAACTGCTCGAAGATGGCCAGCTATGCATACTCTCCACTGCTGCCTCACTAATTCTTACTAAGCCTTCGAAATGACGCTCAGGCACTGCACCTGCACGGCTGTCCCGGACCCCATGCCCCCATAGTTCGGTGTGTCCTTGCCGACCTGTCTCCCCACCCGGCAGATGGTGCTCCTCCAAGCCACAGCTGTCCTGGAGCTCAGCGCAGGGTCTGACTCAGCAGACCTAAAAACTGAACCCCCAGAGCCAGATGTCCTCAGAACAGCATGGGGAGAAGTGGCCATTACAGAGCAGCCTCTGTCACTGCCCTACTGCCAACCCCTTTTCACTCAAAAAGAGTCGTATTGGGTACAGGCAGTGGGCGGGCTCCAGGGATCCAAGTGAGCAAGGCAGGCAGTCCCCACCTCTAGGGGCTCTCAATTTCATGAAGATGAGTTACATGTGCATATGTGAGCACAGGCTGTGAAACGGTGAAAAGGAACAGTGCTGTATGTAATGGGAAAGGGGGCAGCCAGCCAGGTATCTTCTGAAAAAGAGTCATTTAAGCTGAGACCTACAAGAAAAAAAGAAGCCAGTTATACAAAAAAGCAGGGCAGCCCATTCAAGGCAAAGTGAATGCAAAAAGCCTGAGGCAGGAAAGAGGCTGGTGTTGTCGAGAAAGGACAGAAGTCCAGTGGGACTGACAGAGCCAACGAAGGGAAGATGGCCTGAGATGAGAGCTATGTGGACAGGGACTTGCAAGCCACCGTCTAAGGAGTTTGGGATTTCTCTCTCCTAAGGGAAGCCGCTGACAATTTAAAGCAATGGAATGCTAAGCCCAGAAGGCCAGAACCAGGGGTGGGGCAGCACAGGCTAAGAAGAAAATGGGCACATGAGAGCCCAGTGCACATACCCGGTCAAAGGTGGGTGGGTACTGGGCTGCAAACTCCAGTTGGCGGATGACCACTTCATTCACTGGGACTCTGTTCTGCCTCATGTCCTTCAGGATGTCAATGAGATAGGTGTAGTCCAGCTTCTTGAGGGCCGCATTGATGAGGGTGCTGTAGATGTGGGTGTTGGGGGTCATCTGGGATTTCTGGAACATCACAGACATACAATCAATAAGATGATGCAGATTGCTGGGGCAAAGCCTGCTGTGGCATATCCAGCTTGGTGAGCTACCCTGCCAGTCAAGTCTGTCCTGCGGACCAGCAGCCAGGGACAAGGAGGGCAGAATCTCGTAGCAACGATGGGCTTCACTGTCCCCTCCAAAAGGAAAGACCAGGTGCCCCACTCTGTGGGCCCATTCCATATGGCTGAGAACCTTAACCTCTCAGTCCTCAAGAACTTGGGGGTGGGGGTGGGAATGTAGACAACTGTATTTGAACAATTAAAAAAAAAAAAAAACTTAGAGAGAGACAATGTTGCTCTCGGAGGTCAACAGACTCAATAAACCGTAGGTAGGAGACCACCTCTTTGGTTCTTGGCTGTGGCTTTACTGCATCCCTTGCCACGCCCCTGCCCCCCACCCCTGCTCCAAAATTCTGATACATTCCTGCTCTAGTCTACCCTCTGTCCCTCCGGAGTGGTAGGGCTAAGACCTGTCCCCACCCCTCAATCTCACCCACTGTCACCATCTTCAAGACTGTAACATCCCTGCTCTCAATGCCCAATCCTGCTGCAGCTCGCCAGGGTCACCTCCCAAATTGAGCCAATGATCATACTACACTTGAAGCTAGAGTGACCCCGCTCTCTCTGTCCCTGCCCCCGTCCCCCACCACACATACACAATTTATCCTATCTCGGTACAGAGGTTTGGGGAGTTTGGAGGGAACCCCACTTCCCTTCCCCCAGATTTCTTCCTGAGCACCCCCGGAGTGCTCTTCAGCACCGAGGGTCCTGCCCAGACCTGGGCCCCACTCACCTTCATGTCGGCCAACAACTGCAGTCCGTCCTGTGGCCTGTGGCACCCAATGGCTAAACTGCAGAATGTCTGGAGGTTGGGGACGATTCCTCTCTTTGCCAGGACTGGTAGCAGTGCCTGTGGAAACAGACCTGGCATCACCATTAGCCCTGAAAAGAGTCTTCAAGCCCTTGGCAGAACGCTGGCAACCCCACCACAGGGCTCTGCTCCAAGGCCTCAGGCTCCCCCTGCTGGCCACACTGGGCACTGGCCTCGGCCCAGCATTCAAGGGTCCAGGCAGGGTCCTACCCGGTCCCCTCCCAGAGCTGTTCAGCCAGCTCCCCAGAATTCAGCCGCCCTGTAAGTACAACTTGCCTTTCAGCTTGCCTCTCTCCAACACGATGTCCCTTGTCCCTGAATGCCTTTCATATCTTGTCCCTCTCTGCACCTCTGTTGGCCATCCTTCCCTGCACTTGGGCCTTCAATGTCCATGGAGCACCAGGAGCCTTAGAGGCTCCTGCCCTGCGGTCCAGGGTGTAAAACACTGACAATGGTGTGGTAAGTGCTGGCTGAGGAGCCTGGGCAGGAGGTGAGGAAAGGACAGAGGACGCTTGCTCAGCCTGGCTGCGTCAGGGAGGGCCGCAGGGAGAGGCTCTATCACATTAGTGTATGTAGAGGAAGCTGCACCCTGTACTGTAGGCCTGGAGGCAGGGCTGTGTCTTTGTCACCTCTGATGTTCACAAATGCCCAGGTTAGTGCTCTGGCAAATAAGCCATCACATAGAAACATGTCATATGAATGGACAAAATCCCACGAGGGCCCTGGGGTCCCCATCTGTGAAGTAGGGACCACCACACACCAGCAGTGCCTCCGAGTGTGATCGATAAAGAAACAAATGCTGTAGAGATCTCAGAACAGCATCTAGCACAGAGTAAGTGCGATGTTAGTGAGGTGGGGATGGCTGATGGGCAGGGGTGCTCAGAAGCCACCAGCCTCTCAAGCCACATGTACCCATGGCCCCCATGACCCTTGTCAATGCGAGGATATGTTTGGTGTCTGCTCCCAACCAATCTGTGTGCTCCTTGAAGAGGGCAGGGAGTGCGGCTTGCTCAACTCCCAGCTCCTCACCGGAACCCGGCCCAGAACAAGGGCCCTGGACAGTCTGCCCACTAACTGTGGAAGTGGACGGCACAACCGGCACGGAAGCCAGGTCCCACAGCCAGAGGGTCAAAGGAGGAGGGGAGAGAAGGGGCTCCGGCCCAGAGCCTGGAGTCTGCTTCCACACTCACCTTCGCTCCCTCCAGATCGCCCAGCTTGCTCTTCTTCCTCATCAGAGTGTTAAAGAATGTCACATCGGCCTCCACCTGGTGCATGTCCAGGAGGGTCAGCAGCGAGGACTCTGCAGGGCTACCAGGATCTACCACCTCAGCCAGTAGCGTGAGGGTTTTGATGTCAGGCCGGAGCCCGTGCTCTGCCATCTTGCCCAGGAAGCCCTCCAGGCCCCCCATCAAGGCCAGCCTGTCAGCTGGGGTGGTCACAGTCCCAAAAGAGACCACAGTCGGGGGAACTGCCCCAAGAGTCAGAAGGTTGACCTCCAGCCCCCAGAGAGGCAGCTCTGAGGCCACAGGGGCAAGGGCCACAGTGTGCTCACAGTCCACCTTGGTTTCCACCTCGGGCTGGGCCTTGCTGGGGACTCTGGCCTCTTGAGGC